TTAATAACGCATACAAAGTGTTTTGTCTTTGAAAATATTCTTTAGAAAAGAGAGTGTGTATGTGAGAAAAGTTTTGTTTATGAGCAAGCGACTACGAGCTATCTACCTACTCAAAAGATCTTTGTTTTTTTTCTCTTTTCCTTTAGATAGTGCTATCCTATTGTAAGTTAGTAGGAAATTCTATCGTTAGATGTGAGGGACAAGCGCGGGTCATCGTACAGTCATAGAAGGCAACTTGTATGACGCTTTAGCAATTTTTGTAAGGGACTAAGATCGTTTATCGAAGGCAGCACCGAAGGGTCATCGAGAGACTACGATCTTTTAACTGAAGGTCTTTGCTAAGGCATCCCACGTTCGAGGGACATGACTATTTTTTTTATCCGAGGTAATAAGTGAGGGTCACCCTAGAGGTGCGCGTGTGTGAAGTGTTTTGATTTTAGTTAATTTATCTTGGATTTATGGTTATCTAGCGTTTTGTTTTAGATCTTGCCATATAATCATATTAAACTAACAGAAATAAAGAAAGCAGTAAATTGGGAAAATTAAATGTCCTACGCTATTACAACGCTTTGGAAATGGGGGTTACAAACCATAAAATGGGGGGAAAATATAAAGAAATCCTAATTGATCTATTATATACCATTGACAGTTACATAATAATAAGGCGAAAAATAAATATACGCGCGGAGATGGAAAAGGTAAAGATGTCAAAACCCTAAAACATTTTCCAAGTGTTTAAGAAAAATATTTTTGTTGTTTTTGTTTAGAAAAATATTTTTAATGTGAAATAAAAATTAAACCTAATTCTAATTAAGTTACTAATTAATTTCTTAAAATAAAACAAAGTGTGATTAAATTAATTTATTTATTTAATAAAAATTAACTTAATTAATTCAAAATCTAAAATCTAATTTTTATGATTTTATGATTTTTGTTGATTAAAATAAAACTAATTAAAGAAAAGGGAAATGTTAATTAAAACAAAATAAAAATAAAATAAAATGGGCCTCCAAACAAGTAAGACGGGGATGAGAAAGAAGCAAAAACATCCAGGCCCAAATCAGAGAGCCCAGATTGTTGCGTTGTATCCAGTGGAGGTGACCCCCTTGAGGTGTATCGTGGGGTGTGCGTTTGGGGCATTTAGATCTGGAACTCTGAGATCTGATGGTCATTGGATGAGGACACCATGCGCGCGTTGGACCTGATTGTACTGAATCTCTAATGAAAACATGAGAAAACAAAAATTGCCCCACGCCTGGATCGAACCCAGGACCAAGCATAGGTAAGCCTTAAGAACACACACGCTGCCACTGGGGTGGCTGTTTCATCCGGTTATGAAACAAAACCCAATAAATATAATAGGAACTTGGATGTCAAAATTTGAAAATGCCAGTACATCATCTTCATCTTCCTTTCGCGCGAACGGACAACAATAACACCATTTTTATTCTTTGATTTTTCGAAAATGCTCATTTCTCAACCAAATTGAAAGATGTAAACATCAAACTTGTTTAATTTTTGACAAGGGATTCAACCATGTATTTTTTAAAAGTTATAAATCAACGGTTAAGACGAATTTTGTTTGGTACCAAACTGAAACCCTAACATTTCAGAAAACTCAGTTCCAAAATTCTCATCACACGATTAATTAAAAATGAGATTTAAGGACATGGTTAGCTTCATAGACATGATATCTACATTTTCCTTTAGAATGTATATGCAAATGGTGCTTAAATAAGGATTTTAAAGTTTGAAAAATGTACCAAGTTAGAGAAAGTCCAACGCTTCTTCAAGCACTTCCAGAAGCAAGATGATGATTTCTTTAGCTTGTTGGGACCTCCCTGAGTGTATTCCAGCCCTTACTTTGCTTTAAGGATGACTGAAACGTTCTACCCAAGTCAAGTTGCAAGGTTAGATTTTGAAAATAGTGGATGGTGATGGAGTGATTACAGAAGTTGTTCAGGTGTTTGGACAACTTCTATATGATGTACCTAAGGTGTTTGATGGATAAAAGAGGAAAACACACGAGTGGATTTGAAGTTGGGTGTTGGAAGCTTCAAATGTACAACAATGGTGTTTTTTGAGCAAATTTTTGTGTCCTTGAGTATGAGCTTTAAATACTATTTATAGAGGTTGAATTTGGTCTATGTAGCTTGCAGAAATCAGGTTTAGTTCATATAGAAGGTTGGTTTGGCCATTTGGTTTGAAAATGCACAAAAAAGCATGTTGCTTCATGATAAAGAAAGGGAGTGACTCAAGGGATTTGTCATGCTTTTGCTGACCTCTAGAAGTTGATTCTGATATTGAGATTTTTTGTGATCTAATTAGGGGCAAGTTACAAGCTTAAGTGAGGAGTTGTTGACATAAAGCTTGCTTTATCAAAGAGGCAGAGTAACTTTATGCAAATTCATCCAAAAATGGCATCAAGATTTGGACAAAGCTTTAAATCCTTGTGTAATACACTTAGGGCTTGTGTAATTACTTAATTATGGAGAGATTTAGAGATAACATAGCCTGAAAAGAGAGATATTGTAGCTTTGCTTGGAGTTTTGGCCATAAGGTCATAAAAAATGACTTATGATTCAAGTTTGAATGGCCAACTTTTTCTCTTCGAATCTCCTAGCTCAAACATGATCTTTTTATGATCTTAGATGTTTTGGAAATATTGAATCAAGATCTTCAACTTTCATGTTGACCATTTTGGCTAAAACAAAAGGGAAATTGGTGAAAAATGGCTAAGAAGTTGAGATAAAAAACTGATCAAAAATATTTCTAAGTGTTGGGTAAAAATATCAGAACATCATGGGCCCATATCTCTTAATCCAAGCACTTTTTGAGGATCATCCCACATTAACAAAATTGTAGAATTCATTAATCCCTATAACTTTCATGTTGAAAGTTTTTCTTGAATCAGTTTGTATCTTGAGGAAACTTGCTTGTGAAGTTAGGGTTTTCTAAGCACAGAATACTTGAATTTTTTCTAAGTACTTGAAAATCTTCCAACTTTGAATTTTGTTGACTTTCTTGATCTTTATAATTATTGATGATCAAACTTGATAATTTTGAATGTTTTGATGGTTCTTGATTTTTGAATTCCAATGTTGACCAAAAAGTTAAAGTTTGACTTTTGTGTGACTGTTGACTTTTTATCAATTGATTCAATTCTTCAACTATCAATCACTTGTATCTTTGGAAATGTATTGATTCATGTAATTAGGTCAAGATGTTGTATTTGAGCCCTTGATATCATGTTTTAATACATTAGGTCATGTACTAGGCTAAAATTCAATGATCAGTCATCTTCAATCAAAACCCTAATTTTGTAATTTTGACCTTTGATGATTTGAGGGTTTTCCTTGATAAATCGTGATCAACCCTTGATAAAATGATGAATATCACATCAACATGCTGATGTTGACAATAAACCTTGAAGTTTGACTGTATGTTAACCATAGTTGACTTATTACCTAATACAATTGACTTTCAATCTTCTGAGTCATTGAGTGAGCAAACATGTGATGCAAGACATGAAACTTGACATAAGCATTATTGATGACCTATGATGAACCATGAAATTCATTTGAGGCCCTTGCAACCCAATATTATTTGAGAATCACCAAACCCTAGTTGAATACCCTTGCTTAGGAGGAGGTTCGACCAGTCAACTCTTGAGTGGTTTTGAGTATTTGAGACCTTTGTGAGTATGTTTTGAAGAAAATGAGAGGACAAATTTTGGGGTACAATACACACATATCTCAGTGATCCGATAATTTGTTTGAACTAAGTCACATTGACTTTTTCTTCCTCTCTGTGCTTCTCCAACTTCAAGTTTGGTTCTACAAGCGAAGATGCAAGAGTCAAATCATTCATCCTGAATCTCTTGAGTATTTTTTGACATACTTTCTCTTGTAGCACCATACTTGCTTCGAAGTTTGAAATTTCTTTCGTAAATAAGACAAGTTTTCCAGAGTATTTTTTAGGCGGTCTCTTTAGGGTGTCAATCTAATTGAGATATCTTAACTCTTAACTTTATATCCTTTGCTTAAATTTTTTGGGGAAATACTTAATGCACTCTATGAATTACTATTACACCCTCATGAAAATACAATAATACCCTCATATTCTGGAGATGCATCTCTGGATGCACTCCAACTTAATACATTCATAAATCAGACCCTAACTCAATGGAAAAAATTACAAAAATGCATCATTATGTATATTAGGGAGATGCATCTCTGAACGATCTTAGATAAAAAATGTGTCATAACCCTTTCTCCTTCCTCACTTCTAAAAAAAGCACTCTCAAGTTTCTCAAACTCTCTCAACTCACATCCTTTCAAAATCATTTAATCAATTTAAAGCTTATTCCAATAACATCAAGTCCATCAAAGAACTCACTTTCTCTCAAAATCATTCAACCAACTTCAAAACTTGAAAGTTTTTCTTTTTTTTTATAAAATTTTTTGATTTTCTGTATAAATTTGTAAAAATTGATGATTAGGTTATGAAATATATGTTTATACATATTATGTAAATGAGAAACGTGTTTGACAAGTAGTTTTATTCATAAATGCATTATTTTTGTTGTTTTGGAGGACTGCATTTTTCCATTGACGCTAATGTGAGTTGCATAAAATTCTGGCGATGCATCTCTTGAATTTTCCAACGTTTTGATTCCCTGAAATCAAAGATGCATCTCCGAAGTTTTTCAGTGCATTTTTTGGCAATTTTTCTGAACTGTGAGTTTAGGCAAGGAAGTTCTGAACTGTGAGTTTAGGCAAGGAAGTCTCTTTCAGGTGTGATTAAGTAAGGATGTCTTGGACTGGTGTGTCTAAGTAAGTTATAATCATGTGCTGATTATAATGAAAAGCTCTTGTGAGACAAGGGGACTGGCTACTCTCATTATAGAGGAACCAAGATGTGTGTGCATTTACTTGTTGTTTCTCTACTTTAAGCCCAACTGCCATTTACTCTAGCTCGGAGTCTGAACTTGGTCAGATTCAGTAGTTTTTATTTTTAGAAGAAGAAAAGAATACTGGTACATTAATATTCCTATCAGGATCTTGAAGAAGAATATTTTTATTATTTAAGAATGCTATTGAGTCACTCGATGATCTTCTATGACTTCTGCTTACACAATTAGCAAGTTTCTCTTCTTGTTCAGGCTCGTCGTCGTCGTCAAGGAGATCATTCAACCAATAAGGTACATCCTGCTGCTGGTGCGGATCCGATAACGTACGTTGATTTAGCCTCATTCCTCCTAATTCAGATAATAATCCATCTAAATAGGATTCACTCATTTTATTTATAGGAGGTAATGAAAATGTTTGTTCATATTGTGAGTGGTCTCTCAAGTTTGGTACACTATTCGAACTTTGCATTTCTATGATCCTGCATTGCAACACAGATGAAATAGTTACATTTTTGCATTTCTATGAGCCTGCATTGCAACACAGATGAAATAGTTACATGTTTTGAAAGGAAATAATAATAATAAAAATGTGTAGTCAAACAGAAATAACAGTTAATACATAATTCTTGATAAAACTAATTAGAGATTGTGTACATTTAGATCACAAACCAAATTAACAGCGCGTGAGGATGTATTGGAAAAGTATATAACGTGATAAGAAGGAGGAGATTTGCATCCATATACAAAATTGTATAATTTTTGAATTTTCACTACATCCTTAACAATTGTAAGAGAAAAAGGTTCACCGGAGATGCAGGGAGAAGTGGGTGACTCTCCATGAATAAGTGATTTTGTTTGTTTTGTTTCTTGTATCAATCCGAAAAAGCGGTAGGAAGACCGTGTTTTGCGTGATTAGACTTTAAAATAATCAAGTTATTGTTATCTTCACTTCTCATGTCAAAATAATCACCCTTTCTTAATATCTTTACACATCAAATTACTAAAATATTAAACATTGTTTTTATATTTTTATTATAATTATAACATCAATGTTATGATTTTTTATTTATTTTCAATTACAATTTTTTAAAAAGTTTATATCAAAAGATCTAACGACACTTCAGAATTGAATTTATAACATGTACAATTTCTATACTCTATTCTTTCCTATAAAAATTGAAAGAAAATTAACATATGAATTAAAATGGAATAGAAATAAAATTCTCTAAATCTATAAGAATTTATGACTAATTTTTCCTTACAGGTTAATTGTTATTCATAAATTTTTACAATTTTAAAGAATTTTATTTTCGTTACATATAGATATGTTATTGTATTTATGTGTTGATTTTCTATTAAAGTATCAAAGTTTTTTATTAACGGTGTATTTGACTTATTTAAATGATAGAGGAAAATACAGTATAATGATGATTTATTCGAAAAATACTAATTATCATTTGTGGAATGGAAAAATGAAAATTTTGTAAAGAAAATATATTTACGTGTTTTTGGAACCAAAAAGCTAGATTTTACTTCTAGCGAAGAATGAGAGTTTATACACTGACAAGTTTGTAGTTTTATTCAAGACTATAATATTTAGTCATATTACTAATGAAACAAATGTAAAAAAAATGTAGGAGAAGATAAAGATTTTGTATGCTTCTAAAATTATGGAATAATAAAATTATTCTCATTGAATAACTTCATAAAATAAATTTGAGGCATAAAGATAAAATTTCTATTTTAAATAATTTGAGTGAGTTCCGAGAGCTTTTAGATAATTTGAATAAATTCTAAAAGTTTATTGATTGATAATTTGAGTGAGTTCGAAGAGCTTTTAGATAATTTGAGTAAATTTTAAGAGTTCATTGATTGAATGTTAAAAATACGTATTAAGTTTGATGACGATCTTTTTTGACTATTTTTATTCTCATTTTTACTAAAGTTTTGGAGAGACATTTAAAATTTCTATTATAAATTTGACTTTTAGACTTTACTAATATGTCAAAACCTACATCTAAATGTTTTTTTATTAATGTCAAAATCCATCCCCTTATCACACCTCTCTACTCGAAACTCGTTTCAAAAACATCATTTGTCCATCAAAATTTATATTTATTAGAACTTAATATTTTCTTTTTGTCAAGTCTCTTTTAATGGACATGTATAAGTTTACTTAATCATCCACTAAATAACTTTTTAATTGATGAAATCCACAATAGTTGATATAATAGTAATGACTTGGGACTTAAATAGTGTGTTCACCTCAAAGTCTCAATTTCGAATCATATTACATACTAATAATTTTTATATTGGTTCCGTCCATATAAAAGTTTGCTTTAGCTTTAAATGGAATTTTCATTAGTGAAATATGAGATTGATCCTCTTAAATTAATAGATCCTAAGATCAGATATCAAAATTTTAAAAAAAAAAACTTCTTTCGTTATGTAACTTCTAATTTTCTCAAGCTTTTTTCATATTTGATTTTTTATGTACTTCACAATTTTCCATTAAAAACTTCACAGTTATTGCATAAAGTGTCTATTTTGATTTGCTCAAGAACAGATAGAAGAATAGATCAATTTTTTATTCAACTTGGATTTAAGAAATGCACAGTGGAGTGTGGTGTGTATCTCATAAATTTAAAAATGAATCAAATATGCTTTTATTTATATATATATATATATATATATATATATATATATATATATATATATATATATATATATATATATATATATATATATATATATATATATATATATATATATATATATATATATATATATATATATATATATATATATATATATATATATATATATATATATATATATATATATATATATATATATATATATATATATATATATATATATATATATATATATATATATATATATAAGATAAATGAGAATTATGTCATAGAAGTTGAAGAATTTAAAAGCACTATGAAGAATAAAATTGAGATGACTAACTTAGGAAAGCTATCTTATAGGTCGGCCAAAGTTATAGGTGAGTGAGACTATCGTTTTAAGCCTCAAATTTTTAGACTTTTAAGATAGGTCTCAAATCTAGAAAAATAAGGCCTCAACTATTATATAATAAATAAACGTTTCATAAAATAGAATAGGAAACACATAGTTGAAGTGGTAAAAGATCTAGGTAATTATTTTCTGGCACACGGGTTTGAATCCTATTGTGGTTATTTTGTAAAACAACAATTCTATATAACAACAAATTCACTATTCATTACAAACTAAATTCTATAATCATTTATACAAAAAATCATGTCCGTGCTATCTTATCTATAATTATTTTTAAATAATTTAATCAAGTTTCGCCTTAGGCCTCCAAACGTATTGGATCGGCCCTGCTATCTTACGTAGATGGTGTGAAATTTGTGAACACCTATAAGATCTCATTTGAGGGTAGCTAAGAGAATCATGGGATATGTTAAAGGAAAATCAAGTATAGTCTACTATTTCCTGCACAAATCGATAAGAAACAAATTGAATTGATTGACTACTTTGATTCAGATTGGTGTGGGGGAATAAAATAGATATGAGAAACCCTTCTAACTACTCATTTCAATTCCAAGGAGCTTCAATCTCTTAGTGCTATAAGAAACAACCAGTGACAACTTTATCATCATGTGATGTTGAAAATAAAATAAGCATTTTTCTGACCTTAGAGTTTATATGGTTCGACATGTTGCTAAAGAAACTAAAATGTGAAGTGAAGAAACCATTAAACCTTATGATTCACAATAGATTGACTATCGATATAACCAAAAACTCACTCTCACATGAAAGAAACAAACACATTGAAACTTGATTCCATTTTATTGGGAGCAAGTGATGAATGAAAGGATTGATGTAGTGCAATGTCCTAGTATTGTGCAACTAGTCGAAGGATTCACCAAACCATAAAGATTGAGAGATTTGTGCTCTTATGAGAAAAGCAATGGGTAGTGCCATTTTAGAACTTGTGGATTAAGGATGTGCGTTAAGATTTAATCCAACTAATCCTATTTTAACTTGTTGGATAACAAGACAGTCATATAGTAGTTAACAAGTAGTATTATATATTAGTTAATTGGTTAAGTGTGTTACTTAACAAACAAGTTACCCACATATGATACACACATTTCATCATACATTCGGCTACTACATTGCTTACCGTTTCTAACCTTGTCTTGCTTTGATTCATTGCATAAATAACATAAACTTTCCATTGCGCCAACAATTAATACAAAAGGACTTGGTTCCTATTACTATCTAAGCAACTAAGCAAGGAAAACATAATAAAAGTTAACTATCAATTACATCCATAAACTTAATGATAAAACAATAATTACTACCAAGTACCATAGCAGAAAGTTAAAAATAAAAAACATAGGTTTTGATAAAATGGGTGGAAAAAAATAAGCAAGATACTAAGCAAGGTCTGTTCAATATTGGATTACCTACCACCTTCATATAACTCATTCATGATATATAGGCATTAAAAACATAAACTAAACATTCATGATTCCACAATTTAAAGCTTCGCAAACTTCTTTTCTTTCAAACTTTCCACAGTCTCTTTGATGCTCACTTCCAAAGGAATGTATTCGATGCCCAAGCTCTTCGCTTTTTCTTTGGAAACCTGATATATAGGCACATTCGGCTTATCATCTGCACACCTGGTTATAGTGTTGACAAAGTGAAAATGGTATTAGATAAATCTAAATAGCTAAGACTTGAATCATGTAAATCATATAAATGTAAATGCAGTAATTAACAGAATGTTGAATCATGTAGTGCTCGTGTCACAATATTTGTAGAACTTGTAACATTTAATGTTTTTGCTATAACTTGGCCTTCTTTCAGAAACAATTTATGTTCAAGTCAACATTTGTATGACTTGTCACATTTAATGTTGCTATAACTTGGCATTCTTTCAGAAACAATTAATTCAGCAACGAATACAAATGAACGGTTTAATTTAAATTTGCAATTTAGCATGACCATAAATATACAGAACACATAAAAATAGAGGAAGGTTCAAATAATGGGCTATCAGACAACATAAAGCAACCTTCCAACTCACATTCATCCACATGGATGTGCTCAGTCACAAGCATGCGTATACAAAACAACAAATCAAAAGAATCATTTAGTCCACAAACACTTGATAATTTAACTAATATGATATAGAACATATTAATTAGAGAACAAATGGATATAAAGATTCAAGATTTGCTTCCTACTCTGTTTAGTTTTCTTGACTACGTGATGCATTTCAAGTACGATAATAAATAAGAAAGTATGTGATATCCTTCGTGATACTAGTATGCATAATTGTAAATTCACCGACACTCCTATTGATGGCAGGGGGTCCCAATGTCAACCTTCTTACATGAGCAATAGAAGGTCTACTTCAAGTAAATGTGTTGTGATTTGGAGATATTCAATTATATTAAG